TGATCCTTCCGACTCAGCCTTCCGAGTAGCCGGAATTATAGGCGCGCGCTACCACGCCCGGCTAATTTTTTGATTTATTGTAGACATGAGGTCTCACCTGCCCAGGCGGGTCTCGAACCTGCGGGCTCAGGCAATCCACTCACCTCAGCCTCCCAAAGGCGTGGGATTACGGGCTAAGCCACCGAGCCCGGCTAGCTAATTTTTTTTTTTCTGTAGGGGCAAAGTCTTGCTATATTGCCCAGGCGGGTCTCCAATTCCAGGGCTCAAGCAATCCTTCTGCCTCGGCTTCCTAAAGTGCTGGGAATACAGGCGTGAGCCACTGCGCCTGGCCTATTCCCTCATTTTAACAGCTGCTGCTACCTGTGGCTGGCGGCTCTCTCATTCCTTGGGGCTGCTGCCCCCTGGGAAGAGGCCTGACACCGGGCCTGGCTCCTGACCCTGTTAATAAAATGAGCTCAGCCCAAGGAGGGTAGGAGTCCACTGGGCCTGCCTCTGTGTTCATGGCCTGAGTGCTCCCAGATGGGTCATCCCTGCTGTCCCAGGTGCTGGCCAGGAGAGGGTGACTGTGAGGCAGGTCACAGCGGACACTAAACCCCTTCTGCCCTGTGCCTGGTGAGTGGTGCCCATATTAGAAAGCAGAGGTGACTGAGATGACCATGCTGGCAAAGAGGACTCTGGTCCAGGCCCTGGAGTCAGGTGGCAGCTGTGGAAACTGACCATCCTTGCTCCTGTAGGCTGCTGGTCTCCTGGGGCTCCCGTGCTGAGCCCCCCAAGCAACCAGTCTCTGGGCCACTGCTGAGGGCTGGCCTGGGCATGTCCCACCATGCTGGGGACACGGCGAGGGCTGTGCATTGATGGATACCCTCTGGTCGCCACTACCCTCCTGGACCTCAGGGCAACAGGTCCATCTCCTCCCAGGCCCCTGACCCTCAGATCCCCTCGGATACAGTTTGTGGGTCTGAGAGCCACTTCCAGCCATGGGAGTCCAGATTCCTGGGGTCCTGATTCCTGCTGTCCCCTAAACTGCCGAGACCCCCGCCCCTCCTCATATGTGTGTTTGTGTGTCACCAGCTCATGCAGGGTGCCGGCCACACTGGACCCCGCATGGGGCTCCTCCCTGCGGCTGGAGGAGACGCCATCAGTCAGAGGCTCTGTGGCACCCTGGATCCCCCAGAGCTGCGGTAAGGATGAGGCTGCGGACAGGCCCTGGGCTGGTTGGTCAGGAGGCCAGGGGTGTCCGCTGGGGACCCCCTCCACTGCCTAACTGGAGGAGCCAGTCCTGTGGGGTAGAGAAATCCTTTTCTACGTGGAGAGCATCACACGTCGTATTAAAGTTTTGGAGGCTGCCGGGCCCCCATGTGCTCTGTGCTCCTGCCACGCCTGCCATGATGGGTATTGGTTGGGTAATGGCGATGCTTTTGTCATGAGCGGTCCCATTCCTGGTGCCACCATGGGTTGCCCACGTTCCCTTGGGATGCTTCCTTTCTGCCCCATCAGCCCTGGATTCTACCTTTTCTTTGGCTACTGAGTGTTTTCTTCCCCCCTGGGGTTCCAGATGAGGAAACTTAGCCATGCCCACTAACTGCTGCCTGTGGGCAGCCCAGAAGACCTTTGAGGTCTTGGGGGCCCCGCCCTGGGCTCAGGGGCTTTGTCCTGGCATGTGGCTGTGCTCAGAGGGAGGGCAGCTGATGGGGAGGAGGCGTGGGGCCCCATTCGCTGTTTTGCTGATTTTCTTCAAATGAACACATTTGGGTGTTGGAGGAAAACATGCTCATGTCCAGCTTTGGGAAAGACAGACACAGGCATATTCAGAGAAAGTGGACCACCAAACCTACTTCAGACCCCAACCTGGAGCAGCCCCAGATACAACCTGCACACATTGAGCTAGGCTAGCAGCTGTGAGGCCCGTCAGGTCTCATGGCCTGGGAAAGACCCTTGGGGGGGTTAGAAGAGCCTTAGGCTTTCCCAGTGCAGGGACGGAGCCTGGGAGGGGGATCTGTCCTGGACTCTGGACACCCAAAGTCCTGGGTTCAAAACTGGCTCCAATGAGGCATGGTGGCCCACATCTGCCATCTCCACACTTAAGAAAGTCAAGACAGGAGGATTGCTTGAGCCCAGGAGTTTGAGACCAGCCTGGCCAACATAGCGAGACCTTGTCTCTATAAAAAGTTCAAAAATTAACTGGGTATGGTGGCATGTGCCTGAAGTCCTAGCTACTTGAGAGACTGAGGTGGGAGGATCACCTGAACCTAGAATGTCAAGGTTACAGTAGCCGTGAGTGTGCCACTGAACTCCAGCCTGGGTGACAGAGTGTGACCCCTGACTCAAAGCAAAAACAAAAACAAAATGGCTCTTCTAGGGGTCAGAGCCCCTCTTAGAGGACATTTCCCAGGGGAACAGCCCAGAGTCCTCTCCAACTGTCCTCCATGGACCTCAGAGGCTGCACCTGGCAGCTGCAGGGAAGAATGGGCCTGCGTGTGTGTGTGTGTGTGTGTGTGTGTGTGTGTGTGTGTGTGTGTGTGTGTGTGTGCAGGAGAGAGAGAGAGAGAGAGGCCTGTTTCCCACCCCCAAGCCCTCCCTCCGGGAGACTCTCCCAGCCTGGAGTGGGTGCCCCAAGCCAGTGCCCCTGATGTGCCCAATCCCTGGGGTACAGGGAGCCCCCAGGAGCCCAAGTGTGTATTTGCTCCTTCCACACATGCACTGAGCATCACTGTGCACCTGGTGCTGACCATAGCCAGGGTCCCTGCACTTCCACGCCTGTGCTTTAGGAAGCATTCAGTCCGAAGATGAACCAGTGAGAATGTACAGTGCGTGGGACCCTGAGGCATCAGTGCCAAGGAGGAGACTCTACAGAAAGGCGGCAGAGAGCACCTGTGCTGGGGGGTTCGTAGCCAGGGAAGGTCCCCGGGGTTTCTAACCTAGGTTGTGCTGCTGTAACAGAATACCCAAGACTGGGCAATTTAGAGGAAGCAGAAATGTGTTGGTTCACTGTTCTGGAGGCTGGGAATTCCAAGAACAAGTCACCAGCATGTGGAGGGGGCCTTCTGGCTGCCCTCACCCGGAGGAAGGAGGGAGGGGTGGAGGGAGGGAAGAAGGGGGGGAGGGAGAAGAGAGAAGGGGGGAGAGGGTGGAGAGAGAGAGAGAAAGAGAGGGAGGGAGAGAAAGAAAGAGAGGCAGAGAGAGGGAAGGGGGAGAAAGAGAAAGACAGAAAGGGAGAGAGAA